AGCCAGCGGGAGAGATGGCTCCAGCCTCTCATCCCTAGTCTCTCCCCCACTCTACACGCCTGTTTCCCTTCCCCCGAGGCTTCCCCTCACCCCAGGGTCTCCCACTCCTTGGGCGGCAGGGAATTTCCCTGTATTTTAGATCTTCTCCCCAAATTAAAGATGTGAAAATCGAGGGGGAAGAGGGACAGACTCCTTGCTGAGGTGACAGAAGCAGTAGAGCTGGGGTGAGAGGGAGGGGAGTGGGAGAAGCAACTCGGAAATCATTATCTGTCGGTTAAAATCTGCCTGGGGTAAAATTTCAACTCGATTTTATAGCCTTCCATTATGACGCAAAGAAAAATTTACGACCCTTGCTTGAAAAGAGGGCCGGGGCCTTTTCTCACCGGTTTAAGAATAGGCGGCAGATGCCGTGACAGCGACCATTGTTCCCGGTAGACACAGGCGACCGGGCAACCTCGGCCCGCGTGCGCCAGGCGCGTCCCCCAGCCGGGCGGGTTTTTACTGCTCCTGTCGCCTCTGAGCAGCCCGCGCGCACCCTCGCCCCTCGCCCCCCGCACACCCTCACATACACACACACTCTGTCTCTCTCTCACACACACACACACACTCGACCGCTCTCAGTAATTTTTCATAAGTGCAAAGCTTTGCTGAACCAAAGGTCACCATCCAAGCCACTAACAACTTCTTGCCGGCGCGCGCTTCCAAATCAGGAAGCAAAGGGAACTATTTGTCAGCGGCCCTGACAGCGAAGTTCATTAAGGATTTAAATCCGAAGAAATAAAAGTCGCCAAAATATTTACCTGCGGCTGCACTCCCGCGCCCGCCGCCGCCGCCGCCGGGGGCCGAGGGTGGAGGGCTGGGGGCGCCGCGCAGCCCCCCTCGGTGGGTGATATTCTTGGGATCCCTGCACTTTGCAAGTAGGAGAGAGCCCTTTGCGTGGCAGATTAATGACGACTCCGTGTTTCTTAAGGGACGTGCTGAATTAATTATTTCGCCAATCACGTGGTCGGGACTTGTAGAAATCTATTCTTATCATCTTCCTCGCACTTTGAAAATTCTCCGGGTTATGAAAGGCCCTCCCCCGGCTGCCGGCGAGCCCCGGCCGCCCAGCCCGGCGCGGGGGGCAGGGAGGGCTCCCCAACATGGCGGGCGCGCGGGAAGCGCCGGCTGCCTAGGGCCCCCGATTTACGGTCCTGTCCTCCGACCGGCTGGGCTGGGCACTCGCTTCCTCCTCATCCCTGCCCGCGATTCAATACACACGACCGTATTGATGTATTGGTGGGCACAGGAGGAGCCATTAACCAGAAGACGGGCAGAGGACAATCATAAAACGTGTCTGAATATTTAAACTTCTGTCTGTGCACTTATAAATACACATGTCCACGCGTCTGAGGCGAGCCCTTCCATATATTAAGGACACACGTCTGATTTTTTGCATTCTGCTCATTTCCTGTCGAGAGTAAGCTCCCCCCCTCCCCCATCTATTTTGGGACTCCTGTCTTGGCCCCCTCTTCAAGGCGAGGCCAAGACGTGAAAAGCCCTCGTGAAAAAAATAGCGCTGGCCACTCTTTATAGTGGGGAGTGTTTATTGTCGTCTGGAGGGCGGAAGGGGCGCTGGGGAAAGGAGGGGCAGCTGCTGGAGGCCCCAGTGGGGCCGAACAACACAGAAGTAGAAGGAACCCAAGACTGGAGGCCAGAAGGGTAAGATCCGAGCAGCCACGGCCAGCCTCAGATTGGCCCAGAGCCCAGCACCAGACACTCTTAATTAGAGTTGGGCAGCCAGATCTCTCCTCCACCATGCCACAGATCGAGGGGGTCTAGGGCTGACCTGGGCCTGCACAGAGCCAAACTGGAGCCTCTTTCTAGCCCAGGAAGTTACTTATTTTCCTTAAAAAAAAAAAAAAAAAAAAAAGCCCCCCCCGCCCCCCCCCCAGCCTGGATCCAGCCTCTGGCTTTCCAATGCACACAAAATTTAACAGCCAAATTAGGTGTATGTAGGTATGGGGGAGAGAGAAAATGGTAGAATTTCTATGCCTTACGCAGTTTAACCCTCACACATCAGGCATATTATAGAAAATAATAAAATACATTGTTTATAGTGGATGTTAGCTTTTAGAAGACCTAATGAAGAATGCTTCTGTGGAGGCACCAAACAAGAGGGAGATTTCACTACACCTTTTATTATTTCAAATATAGATCAATGAATTACATCAAAACTACAGGCAACAATTAGTATAAATAATACTTTAATCAGTGGCAGCAGAACATTGACCAGTTCTATTAAAAAAGCATCTTGTGTGAACAGACACCATGGGGCTGACTGACAATGTCATCTCCCAACAAAAGACTGCAATGGACAAAGTGAGATGCCGTGTCCTCAGCAAACACTTCACTCCCCCCCCAGTTACTATCCCAAACATACCATTTTAAAAAACCCTCGAACACTTCTGGATCATATTTGGGGGAACAAACTGGAAACAAATAAAAGCAAATGGGCACTGAGCCTTTCTACACCTAGGTCTCCAGAACACGTTCCCAGAAGGAAACATTTCCTTCCCTGCCCTGGCCGGCTGGTGGGCCCCCCGCTTCTTGCCCGCCCCACTCCTGTGGGCCCAAATGGACGCGAGGGTCTGATTGGGACCTCAGGGTTGAAGGCTGCCCTCTGGGCCTTGCAGGCTCCATTAACATTTCAAAAGAGAATCCCTAGAAGCTGAGAAGAAGAACTGAGACTTATAAACAAAGAACTTGTTTCTCTGATAAAATTACTTTCCAAAGTAGTGGGGCTATTTTTAAGGAGGAACTTGGGTTTTCTTCATCAAATATACCTCTTGGCTTTCCTCTAGGGCAGAAGTGAAGGCAGTTAAGTAGTTTGGCATTTGGTCTGAAGCTGGGATGAGTAACCTGAACTTCTAGGAAGGGAAGAAATCTATATATATATAATTTTTATAATGCATATATAGTTGGACATTGTGAAATATATATCCCCCCCACACAAGGAGAAGGTTCAATGTATTAACAAGTTTGGGTTTAGGGAAGAATCTGAGCAACTTTCCAACTTGCCTAAAGATAGCAGCTCTTTTCAAATGCTACATCCAAAGACTGCTCTCCATGTTAGAGGGGGGGAAAAAAAAGAAGAGAAGGGTAGTTAGAGTCCAAAAGGTTAAGGGTTTAGAGGTCAGTCCTCCCGGCTGAAATACAGCTAATCGAATAGAAAATTTGTCCTCTGGATGAACCTGATTCTGTAATTTAGCCGAACTTCAGTTAAAATACCTTTTCAGCTTCTCAACGTGAGGGCATCAGAAAAAAGACGTCTTGACTATGTATGAACTCTGTGCTTTTTGTCATAGAAACAATGATGCAAATAATGCAGGAATATCCATCTTTAATATCCCGACGTGGCGATATTCAAGTATTGCCATGTGCAAGTCTGAGAGCCAGGCTCACCCCAAGGAGGAACAAAGAGCTGTCCCTGGGGTCTAATACAAAAGACCAAGACTTGGAAGATACTTTAGAGAAGTGGAATTTCAGCCTAGGGACCCCAGTGAATACCTGCCCTCAGCTCTCAGGAGACACAGAACCAAAGAACATGCCCGTAGAGGAAGTCTTTTTTCCCTCTGCACTCAAATATATTTTAAAAATTACCTCTGAAACCTTCTAAAGTGTTCTGAAGCACTGAAAAATAGCCCCAATTCTGAATCTCCTTTTCAACCTCCCTCCTGTTCCCCTCCCCACTTCTGTCACTTTTTGGTAAGGGACAACCAGGGGTTTCTTTTTGGAGCCCGAGGCTTTGGGGTTTAAACTTCTGAAGCCTTGTTTCATATAAGTCTATGAACTCTGGCCATTACCTTTGACTCTTTCCCCTTACCCTTAAGGGTCAACATTTTAGAAAAATGAGCTTTGAATCCTTTGCAGGCAAGGCATGAGAAAAATGACTAAAGAACATCTCTCCTGTTGTTTGAGAGCAATTGTTTTTAAACCACTATTCTCAAGGCAAGGGAGAGGAGAGGGCCTGAAAACTTTTGTACTTTTACAAATTCGCTTCTAATTAACAGGTTGAGAAATTCCTTAGATTTGTTTTGAAAAATTAAAACTTAGGGGGAAAAAACCCTAAGACCGACTTTTGTGGACTTCTACATTCAGTTAGTTTTTCATTTTTTTTAAAGCAAGATTTCCTCACCTTCCCACTTTCTCCCCAATGCACATCCCTTCTCCCATACCAGCCACACACCAATTCCTATAAAATACTGCTACATGGAGCATTTGGGGACACTCGGAATCCAGTTGGAACAGAAAATTCAGTCATTATCTAATGACCCAGAACATGGAGGTTTTGTTTTCTTTCCCCAGAAGGAAAATGTTGGACCATTTGTTTCTTTCTTTTCTCCCTTTCCTCTAATCACCCAGAACTAGTTGTAAGCACAGTGCTGAAAAACACACATGTGGAAATATATATTCAAGAACTCAACTTTGAGTGGATCCTTCCCTTTCCTCTAGAAGGGTTAAGGGCCCCCTATATACATTTCCTGGGAGTGGGGAGGGGGTGGAGTTCCAACCAGAAGTCAGGCCACGCACCTCTGATTCTGCTCCCTGAAACTCAGCCCCTTTCACATGTTAAGTTTTTTGGCAACACCATGTCAGTTATTTCTGTACCCCAATTCTCCAACAAATAAATATTTAAGCAAATATAATCTAAACATAAAACAACCCGTTTCCGCTTCCTTCTTAGACTCATTTCTTTGGGCATGGGGACACTGGGAGCAAAAAATATATATTTTTCACACTGTAAATTATACAGACGACCCAGAAAGTTCAGGAATCCTGGCTCAGCTCTCCTGCTTCTACTGAAAACACCTAGCGCAGGGGTGGCCAAGCTTCTGCCTCAACTCTGGCACATTTTTAAACCACAAAGATTCCTGGAGGGGTGGGGTGGGGGAGGATGTTCAAATTCACACTGGGATAAAGCATCCAACCTTCATTTGCAAATTCAAAACCCAACAGCAGAGATTTTCAGGAGTTTAATGACTCGCCAAGGTTTTATGTTCTCAGTAGCTCCTGCCATTTGATAATATACTTAGAGAGAGAATCCCGCCCCCTCCCACCCCCATCCCCGCTCCAGGGAGGGGGCTGCCCTCGGGCAGGATGCTAACCTTGGTCCGAGGGAGGCCTGCCTGTGTCCCAGGTCCACCCCACAGTACCTTAAAGCCCAGGGAGGTGACAGCAGGCCCGGCCTGCCCCCGCAGCTTCGGCTCAGCCAGGAGCTCTGGGAGGGGTGGGCCCAGGGTCCCCACTTCTATAAGGTCGTCAGGTCCGTGTGGTGGTCCTTGGCCAGCGGCTGCAAATGCTGGCCGGGGGCAGCTGAGGAGGAGCAGGAGGACGAGGACGAGGACGAGGAGGACCTGCCTTTGGTGTTGGGCAGCTTGTGGTCTTTTTTCCACTTCATCCTCCGGTTCTGGAACCAGATCTTGATCTGGCGCTCGGAAAGACACAGGGTGTGAGCGATTTCAATCCGACGGCGCCGCGTCAGATACCTGTTAAAATGAAATTCTTTTTCCAGTTCTAGGACTTGCTGCCGGGTGTAGGCCGTCCGGGACCTCTTGGGCTCCCCGCCGGTGTAGTTGGGGTTCACTGAGAGACAAAACAGACGCACAAGGTCAGCTCTGGCCTCGGGGTAGGCCCCTGGCCACCCGCGCTCACTTCCTGGCGCGCCCCGAGGCCGGGCCCTCCTTGCGCTCCCTCCTGGCCCGCTGCTCCCTGCCTCCCACCCGCCCTCTCTCCCCGGCGCACACGCTCCCTCCCACCCACCTGCTCCCCCGGGCTCGCAGGCGGGGACCCCCAAACGTCCCCTCCTGCCCCCAGCCTGCCGCCCGCTGCAGCATTCCCAGGCATTTTGGAGATCCCCTCTCCTCCACCGCGTTCCCTCCACTCTGAAAATGGAGTCCTCCCCCACCCCACCCCCATCTCCACCCCTTTTTGCGCCCACAGCCAAGCAGCCAGCCACATGGTCCCGGCCTGCTCCCTCGGCTATAAAAATTTATGGAGAGAGTAATTGCGGCGCCCATTGAAACCCCACACGCCCCCACCCACGCGCACCCCCTCTCGGGGCTCAGGCCGCCGGGCTGGGGTGGAGACTGAGCGGTCCTGGGCCCGTCCTTACCGGAATTCACGTGCACCTTCTTCATCCACGGGTAGACCACGGCCGGCTGCTTGAGGGCAGTCCCGGGGGGCGGCTGCTTGGGGCCGCCCGGCTGGCTACAGGCCCGGGCGCCGGGCAGGGGTGCGGGCGGGGGCGCGGAGGGCGCCGGGCATGGCTCTCCGGGAGCACCGTAGTGGCCGCCGGGGCCGCCGGGTTCTGGCCCGTGACCCCGCGTGGGCAGAGCCGGGCCGGGCCCGGGGCCGCCGCCTCCGAAGGTCTGCTCACCAAAGTCGGGCCGTGGGTAGAGCCCCGGGGGCTGGAAGTCGGTCCCCTGAGCGCCACCGCCGCCGCCGTAGTAGTCGGCGCCCTGCTCGCCTAGGTAGCCGCCCTGCAAATACTCCTCGCAAGGAGGAAACTTGGGGTCCACATACTTGGAGTTCACCATATACGAACTCATGGCCATTAATTTCAGAAGGTAGAAAATACTAATTTTTCTCGTGTTGTCTTTTTTTCTTCTTCCATAGGGCCCTCCTACTTGCTGTCAACTGAATAAAGTTGGCGGCCATGTGACCAGGCCAGCCAATAGCGAGGGAGTGAGTTTATCACCGGGTTGGTGAGCATCTCATAATTTTCACAAATTTAACTAAATAACATACGTGTAATCAAGTGACTCACCGTGGCACCTCTGAGGGCTCCCACCAGATGTTAGTGGAGCTCTAATCGCAACACCCTCATTCCCCACTGGTGACCCCACTTTTGTCTGCCGCTGACTTCGCTAACCTCCACTGCCTTCTCCATGCACCCCGCCTGCAATCAGCCCCCCAAAATGGGCACAGTTCAAGAGGGAATGAATCTCCTGTATTTGTCAAGGTGCATGGCATCAAAAGGTGGGTGGAGGAGGTGACTCCTGAGTTCGATAGAGAACCCCAGGCAGGCAGGACTCCCGCCTGCCCAGCCCGCGGGAGCGCAGGGACTCTGCCATACAAAGGCCCGATCCCGCCGGCTTTGTCTTCATCAGGGTCACCCAAAAGTTACTACGATCTGGCTGGCCTGAATCAAATGAGGCAATGAGTAACTGCCAAGCTTTCTTCGAAGGCCAGGGTGTTTGTAGCCAAATCTGGCCTTGCTGGTATGGCAAGAAGCCCCCTTGATTCTCTGACTAGGGCAGCGCGGGAGGGTAGCCCAGGAAGGTTGTGAGGGTAACCCCACCTCACTCAAAAGCATCCCCCAAAGGGCCCTAAACTCCCTTTTCCCTGCTCGCCTTCTTCCCACCTGGCAGTAAAGGAAAACAAGCCCCCTCTTTGGGCACCCTCCAACTTTATGCCCCTAGAGAGGAGAGCTGATCCTGGGGCTACCTGACTCCCACTTCACTCTCCAGTGCCCCCAAACCTAACCCTTTGGCCCTGCATTCATGCAACCAATTAGGGATTTACACAGGGGGCCCTGTTTGAAGGTGAGGAGCTTCTCCGGGAAAAGCCTATTTTACATAACTGGGCTCCGAAGATCCTCCTGCCTGGAGTCCAAGGTAATAAAACAGAAAGAGGCGACTGACCGGTCGGCTGACTCTGGCCTCCACTTCTGACTATTGCGGAGAATGTGAAGTTTTTGCATCGACCATATATTCCCCTAGAATCGAATCTGTGACTACGTGGATACCACACAAATTCGGTTCTACAGGGTATATATAGACAACGTTACTGCCTCCAGGTTTCACCCAGAGCAAGTACCCAGACTGTTGCCAGCCCCAGCCTCCTCGGAGCCGCCAGCCCGTCGCAGCCACCCTCACTTTCAGAGACAGTTCAGGTAGTCTGAAGTGCTTGGTGGCAATTTGCAGCAACGAGTTCCCCATCCTTGTACCAGAGTCGGGGTTACCAAGCAGCCAAGGAGTCAGGACAGTCTTCTTAAGAAAGAAAGAAAAGAACAGAAGAAAAATAATCCACTGCAGAATGGCGACTGTATTATTATCCCCTTTCTGGATGCACATAACACCCCCTCCCTTATCAAGTGGTATTTTCCAGAAAGGAGAAAATGCCCTTAGTGGCAGAAGAAAAAGAGGCAAGAGGGAATATCTTCTGCCCCTTCTCTTGCCCACTGCCATGGCAAGCCAGGTTGGCTGGCTAAGCTAGTTCTCCAAGAAGTCGCACGTTTACCTTTCAGGGCTCTGAGCCCGGCTGGCCTCTGTCCGGCTGCTGCTTACCACCCCGAGGCAGGCGCTGCTTGCAGGCACCGAGCTGTCCTGGGCTGGGGCTGGCGTACTAATGGTGAAGGGCAGGGCGAGGGGTCACTCGAAATCATTTACAAACATATCACAAAGTTTCATTATTTTTGCTTTGCCGACAGCAGCACACAAGAGTACAAAAGTTCACGAAGTGTGCCCGCCCCAGTGCTTCGGTGCAGTCTGGGGCTCACCCCTCAATTCATAGCACCAAGAGGGCTCAGAACTGGGAGGATTTTGGGGACAGAGGGATGCCCAGGCTTGAGTGGGGATTTTGGATCCTTAACTCTAAGCTAGAGGTATTTCTTTTTTTTTATTTTACCCTCATGATTCAAAAATTGTTTTCAAGCCTCACCTTGGGCCTGGTGGGGTGGAACAGGGAGAATTCCCTCCACTCCCCCCACCCCTAGTCTGGCAAAATTGGCTGACTTCTCTGCACTTTGCACACTCCCCACACACTCCCCCCAATCCTTTGGTTCCAGTGCTTTGGCTATTTTGTAGGGATTTCCCGGGGGTGCCAATTCTAACAAGACCTCTGAAACTGCCCCACACCCAACTCCCCTGTCCCAGGGGGTTCCCCCACCTTCCTTTAATGCCAAGAGCTCCTGGGGACCTTGGGTCTAGACTTTATCCAGACAGATTGGGGGAGCCTGCTGGGATGAGTGGGGACCTGGGTGAGGGTACACATTTTCATATTTATTAGACGCTGTGACCTGCATTTCACCTTATTGCTCCACTCCTTCAGACAGGTCAAAGCCAATGAGTTATTGATGAACAAAAGCGTTAAATATTCACCTCCTGCTCAACTGCCCAAACAAATGCTTTTGATGTCTCCGGCTTTTTGTGCTGCATTCAGCTACGGGGTGCCAGTCCTGGGTTTTCAAGCAAGGAGCATCCACAGAGATAAGCACCCAGAGCCAGGAGAGTCACAGGAAGAGGGCAAGACCAGGGGTTCTGAGGACGCTGGATTTTCGGGCCTGGAGCTGGGGGGGCCTGTTTCACTTGAGACAGCCTGATTCGTAGAGCTGAACTATGTACTGCGTGGATCCTCCACTCCTCGGGTGGGGGGGCACAGCCCCCAGGGAGTTGATTATGTTGCCCAGCCTGGAGGGCAGAAATCTGGCCCAGAGCCAAGCCCTATCTTCTCCGACCCTAGAAAGAGGACATCTCACCAGAAAGGGAGGGTGCCTGGTTCTTAAACATCTTCACACATTCCATCTCTCATTAAAATAAAATCATCTCCGTTTTGCATGAGGGAGGGGCCCCTGGTCTTTCCTGGAGTCTCTCCCCACCACCATCATCTTAATGAGATAGCCTTCCTGGAGAGTTCACAGGCCTCTTCAGAAGTGTACCTGTCTTCCGCGGCATAAGCAACTCTGAAAGAGCCAAACTTTTGAGCCTAACACCCCAAGAATCTCTGCCCCCCACCGCACCCCAAACACCCCTCCCCCTTGTCTGCCTGCAACACTAGCGGCTCTGGTGCGGAAATTCTCGAATTGCAGTTAGAGAGAAGCAGGAGTGAATTAGAAGGGCCGCATCCCTCCCTCCTTCCTCAGCCGGAGTCCCCAACCCAGGACCCAAATCGCTGAGGCCGGGGCTGGGCCGGGGGAGAGGGTAGGAGGGACTTTCACGTAAAGCTCAGAATTTTCAGCCCTTCCCGGAAGCAGGCCAACCCAACACACCCGCAGCCGTAAAGGGTTGCGTCCCTCCCCACTCCTTCTTTTTATTAAAAAAAAAACCAAACAAACAAAAAAACGAGAGAAGGTCGGGGCCAGGCTGGACCGGGTTAAGCTGGGCTGGGCGGCGAATGGGGATCGCGTTGCCTGGGTGCTTAGCAGGTTGGTTCGAGCAGAAGGCGATGCTCGGCGCAACTTGTTAATAGGGCAAGCTGCTAATTAGCTGCAAGCTCTTCACAGACGCGTCCGCTGCGGCGGAGCTGCACCTGTCCGAGCTGGGGAGGCCTGGGCAGGCCGGGAAGGTCCGGGGAGGCCCTAGGAGACAGGGGTGAGGCGTGCCCGCGGCGCGTTCCCTTAGTTAGGTGACTGCAAACTAGGCCCCAGAAAATCTTCCCAGGAGTCCAGCTTAGATCCTCCAGTTCCAAATCGGGCTCCCCTCGCATACCCAGGCCTGGGGAGGCAGGGCCGTTTTTCCACCCGCCCGCCCCCCTGGCTCGGCCCTTCTCCCCACACCCGCCCAGTTATCGATACCGCCCCTTCGCGATTCGGAAGAAACGGGGAGGTACTTACGGTGGTGGTGTCTCACGGTCCCGAACCTGTTGCAATGAAAACGGGGTCACTTAAATTCCACAGGATAATAAAACAGAGATGGATGATACACAGAAAAATGACAAGGCCCAGACACCCCACCAATACCCTGACCTCCCTCCTGCTTCGGGTGCCCGCCCCTAGGAACTGCGCCAAGTTCTCCGCGAAGAGGGAGACTGCGGTGCTCAAGGGCAGACCGGCGGTAGGAGAGTAAGCCCCCATCACCTCCCCCACGCCATGCACCCCTTTGGGCAAAACCTTACTTTCTGCTTGGCCCAATTCAGGCGGTCTGTAACAGGGTTTCCCCCGGGGGAAAACGGGAAGCGAGGAGAAAACGGGCCTTTGTGTGTTTCCTTCTGCACAATCGGCTGGGTGGGCGCAGGTCCACTGGGGAGGGGGCAGCCGCTGCATCTGTCCCTTGCCCCAGCTCCCCGTCAGTCTCGAGCTGGAGCAACTCAGCACCCCCTTTCCAATTTCAGATTGGTTTCAAATTCCCCAGCTCCAACCAGTGCCCTCTCAAAACTGTCTTCTTTCCAAAGAAGGACCAGGCAAGGCTGGGACTTGCCGTCCCACTTCTGCTCTAATTCAAAACAAAGAGCAATTTTCAAGGGAAATGAGGATCAAACGATAGCCAAGGAAGAGGAAAATCGATGGGTTTAAAGGTAAATGGCAACGCTTTAGACTGTTATCCAGTTCTGTGGGTATGACATCATTTCATCAGCATTTTTGCTGGAGAACCCACAAGGCAATCTTAAGCAGCAGTGGTCCTCACAGGGGCTGGTGTCCAGCTTTCAGCCTCCTCTAGTTTTATTCTGGGACAGGGATCTTCTCAGAGAAATCTCAGAGGCAGAGCATCTCCATCCTTCAACTTTCTATCCGTCCACCTAGGCTACCCGTTTTATTCCACTTCTGAAGCAGAACTTCACTCTGAGAAGGTGAGAGACAGAAAGTTCCTCTGGTGAGGTGAGAGCCCTCAGTTCCTAACTTTCTGTGTCTAGAAGGGAGAGGGGATTCCCATCCTATTTTTTGATTTAGGTTAAGCTAAAATTAACTTCCATGGGACTTCTCCCCACCACCAGGCAGAAGAGATGGGGCAGAGAAATCTCCCACCCCTGGAGTTGTCCTGGAAAAAGTAATAAGTGACTTACTGGTTTTCTCTCCCAGTGGGCAGGGGAGCTGGGAGCAGACCTGTCTCCTTCTGAACCCGGCGCTAGCTGGAGCCTCTCACTTTCCTATCGCTGCTCCAGGAACCAAGCATCTGCACTTGTATGCTCTTAACCTAATTTATGGTGGGAATTATATTTTGGCTTGTCAACTCTCAAGCCATAAAACAAAGTTTATTGGAATCACGTGCTCGTAAATAGCCACTCAGGTCCCATCTCTGCAGAACCATAAATAACCTTCGGCTTTAAACTTTTATTCACTAAATAAAGGTTCACTGGAACTGTTCCCTCACATTTAAATAGTTCCAAATATCTAGGATTCAAGGGGGGAAGTCATATTCATATCAATACCCTGGTCTTTTCAAACAGCATCTTTTCAGGGACTCTCTTTAGAAGGGGAGATGGGGAGATAGTGCTGTTTGGAAAAGGCTGGTTGGTGGGCATGTCTTATGATTCTTTGGCTGCATCCGCTGTGAGTACCATCAACTCCTTTATTTCAATCATTTTCTAGCTCTAGATATGGTAAATAAAGAGGAAAGCCAAAGGTCATTTCTATTGGCTTATACTAGAAGTTATTTCAGATTTTGTTTTAGCTTCAATGAGAAAAGAGTGGCTGGAGGCTGGGTGGGCTTGGGGGTGGGGGTGGCAGTTGGAGTTAACACTTGGCTCGGTATTGTTGTGAATGGGCTCAGCAAAAGTTGAAGGTAGCCACATGCCTAGAGGTTTCTGTAATTTGCTTAGATCTGGAAGGGAAGCCTTTGCAAGTGACCAAACTGCTTAAAACAGCAAGACTTGGGGTTTGGTGATGTGAGAAAGTAGAGAATAGCCTCATCGGGCATCTTTGGCAACTGAAGCTCTAAAGAAGGTTATAAAACAATAAAACAGCCCTGGTGTGAAGGAGACAGGGTGTGAGGAAGCAAATGAGGCTCTTAAGGAACCCAAGCCCAGGAAGTCAGATGTC